CAAAGGGATAAAATTGACTACGTCTGTATGTCTATAGGAAGCTCTTGTTGTTGGGTACTGTCAAGTCTATTTCAGCTCATAAAGACCTTTTGCACAACAGAATGAAACAATACACAGTCCTGTGCCACCTTCACAATCCTCCTTAAACTTGACCCGACTGCTGCTGCCACCGTGTGATCCATCTCAGTGGGGGTCTTCCTCTTTTTCTCTGACCCTCAACTTTACCTAGCATAATATCCTTCTCTAGAGACTGGTCCCTCTTGAAAATCTGTCCTAAGTATGAGAGGCAAAGTATTGCCATCCTGGCTTCCAAGGAACATTCTGGTTGTACTTCTTCCAATACAGATTTGTTTGTTCTTCTGGCAGTCCATGGTACTTATAATATTCTTCTCTAATACCATGATTCAAATGCACCAATTCTTCTATGGTGTTCCTTATTCACTGTCCAACTGTAACATGCACATAGGCCATTGAAAATACCAGGGCTTGGGTCAGGCATACTTTAGTCCTCAACTTGACATCTTAGCTCTTGAACACTTTAAATACGTCTTGTGCAACAGATCTGCCCAGTGCAATATGTTATTTGATTTCTTGACTTCTGCTTTCATGAATGTTGATGGTGAATCCCAGGAAAATTAAATCTGACAACTTCAATCTTTTCTTAATTTATCATGTTATTTATTGCTCCAGTGGTGAGGATTTTTATTTTCTTTACATTGAGGTGTACTCCATACTGAAGGCTTTGATCTTTATCAGTAAATATTTTAAGTCCTTTTCGTTTTCAGCAAGCAAGGTTGTATCACCTGCATATCGTAGGCTGTTAATGAATCTTCCTCCAATCCTGGTGTCGTGTTCTCCTTCATATAATCCAGTTTCTAGGATTATTTGCTCATCATATACATTGAATAAGTATGGTGAAAGAATACAATCCTGACACATACCTTTCCTGATTTTAAACCATTCGGTGTCCCCTTGTTCTGTTCGAATGGCTGCCTCTTAATCTATGTACAAGTTCCACATGAGCACAATTAAGTGTTCCGGAATACTCGTTCTTCACAATGCAGTCCATAGCTTGTCATGATCTACATGGTCAAAAGCATTTTATAGTCAATAAAACCCAGGTAAACATGTTTCCAGCCAAGATCCATCTGATGCCAACAATGATAGTCCTCATTCCACGTCTGTGAGAAGAGATGGTGGAAATGCTCAATATCATTAGCCAAAACAAGTCCAGGGGCAGACTGAAACAGACCATCAATTGCTCATATGCAAGTTTAGGCTGAAGGTGAAGAAAATCAAAACAAGTTCACAAGAGCAAAAATATGAACCTGAATATACACCACCTAAATTCCAGAAGGGTCCTGGTGTGACGCTATGGGTTAATGCTCCAGACTGCAAAGTCGTTTGAACTGCAAGGTCAGTGGTTCAAGCTCACCAGCGGCTCCTTAGAAACCCTATACAGGGTCACTATGGGTCAGAATTGACTTGACTGCACTTAGCAACAACAACAAATTCAAGAAAAGATGAGATACACTATACAGTAATGAGTTGTGGGATCACATCAAAAATATTATACAGGGAGAAAGCAAAAAGTCATTAAAAAGACAGGAAAGAAAGAAAAGGCCAAAACAGAGGTCAAAAAGGCTCTGGGAATTGCTCTTGAGTGCAAAGAAGCTAAAGCGAAAGGAAGTAAAAGAGCTGAACAGAAAACTTCAAAGGGCAGCTCAAGGAGTGAATTATAATGAAATGTGCAAAGACCTGGAATTAGAAAACCAAAAGGCAAGAACACACTCAACATTTGTCAATCCGAAAGAACTGAAGAAAAGAAAAAAATAATACAAGCCTTGACTTGCAATATTGAAGGATTCTGTGTGCAAAATATTGAATGATGCAGAAAGCATCAAAAGAAGATGGAAGGAATACACAGTCACTGTACCAAAAAGAAATGGTCCATGCTCATTCATTTCAGGAGGTAGTGTATGATAAAGAACGGGTGGTACTAAAGGAAGACGTCTAAGCTGCACAGAGGACATTGATGGAAAACAAGGCTACAGGAATTGGTGGAATACAAACGGAAATATTTCGACATTATGCAGCACTGGAGGTGCTCACTCATCTATGCCAAGAAATTTGGAAGACAGGTAACCTGGTAACCAGAGAGGTAACCCAATGGAATGCAGAAATCATCAGACAATATCATTAATATCACATGCAAGTTTAATTTTGCTTAATATCGTAATAATTCAAAAATGGTTGCACTCTTCCTGTAAGCAGCCTGAAGTAATCTCAAGAAATGGTTCACTACTCACTTGAGCCAGAAAACCCCACAAAATCATTCAAATCCAGAGGTTCAAATCTCCAGGTCCATTTTAAGAACGCACGTGAGACTGCCCAGGCCATCAAGAGTATGGCTGTGTGCCATGGAGTCAGTTCTGACTCATAGCAACCCTGCATAGGGTTTCTGAGGCTGTAACTCTTTATGGGAGCAGAAAGCCTCATCCTTCTCCTATGGACCAGCTGGTAGTTTTGAACTGCTGACCTTGCGGTTCACAGCCCGATTCGTAGCCACTTCGCTACCAGAGCTCCTTATCAAGAGTATACATATCTGGAAAGCCACCAAGTATCTTAAAGGTAAGATACTTGGTACACAGAAGCAATGTGTACAATTTGAACGCTACAATGGTAGTGTTGGTAGGTGTGTCCAGGCCAAACAGTGGGAATGGACACAGGGTCAGTGGCCCATAAACAGCGCTGAATTTTGGCTGTACATGCTAAAAAATGCAGAGAGCAATGCTGAACTTCAGGGTTGAGACATGGATTCTCTGGTCATTGAGCAAATCCAGGTTAACAAAGCCCCGACGATGCGCCACCGAACTCAAAGAGCTCATGGTTGGATCAACCCCTACGTGAGCTCTCCCTGCCACATTGAGATAATCCTCACTGAAAGGGACCAAATGGTTCCTTACCAGAAGAGGAGGTTGCACAGAAGAAAAAGATATCTCAGAAGAAACTGAAGAAACAAAAATTTATGGTTTGGGCGTAAATTAAGCATAAAATAAAATACAAATATAAGTAAATCCCCAAACAAACAAACAAACAAACAAGAAATGGTTGCAACAGTCCATTGACAGGGATTCAAAAGAGGTCGTAGAACCAGAGGCATGGTTGCTGAAGTCAAATGGACCTTGGCTGAAAGTTCAGAATACCAGAAAGCTATTTACTTGGGCTTTACTGACTATGCAAAGGTTTTCCACTTTGTGGATGTCCAACTCAGCAGCCACTTCTCGGAAACTCTACAAAGGGTAGCTTCATTAGGAACGACTCAACAGTATTTAACAAATTATGCTCATGAATAACTGGAACATAGTTGTTGAAATAGAACAAGAGGATATTGAATGTTTTAAAATCAGGGTTTTTTGTTTGTTTGTTTTTAATGTTTTATTGTGACTTATGGTAGCGTAGTGGTTATGAATTGGGCTGCGAACCTTAAAGTCAGCAGTTCAAGACTACCAGCCGCTCCGCGGGATAAAGATGAGGCTTTCTGCTCCTGTAAAGATTTACAGCCTCGGAAACCCTGTACAGGGTTGCTATGGGTCAGAACCGACTCTACGGCACTTAACAACAACAACAACATGTGATAGTGTACATGGCAGAACATTAGTTTTACATTCATTCTATCTTGTTCCATTGCCATGGTTACAACCTCCCACGCCCTCATCAGCACACAGCCCCTCTCCCTCTGTGTGTCTAAAGTCTCCAGTTGCTCCATCTCTCCAGGTCATCGTCTCTGCCTCCATCTCAGGCATCACTGCTTCTCAGGTTTGTATTCTTTCACCATACTTCTTCAATATGTGGCACTGTAGGACAAGCACTGGACTGCAAAGTCGGCAGTTCAAATTCACCAGCTGCTACTCGGAAACCCGGAACTGACTAGAAGGCACTTAACAACAATAATAATGCTGATCAAGTAATCGCAGAAACTGGATTACATGAAGAACGAGGAATTGGAGGAAGGCTCATTAACAACCTAGGCGATATGCAGATGATACAACTTTGCTTGCTGGAATCTAAGGGGGTTTAAAATACTGAAGAACAAAACTATGGCTTAACCTGTAATCACATGAAATCGTATGTATAACATGATTATGATGCAATTGTTAAAGTATAGAAGAAACTTTTGAAAAACTAGAGGCAAACAAAATCTGGGGAGAACCCTGATGCCTGATCTTTGTGCATAACTTTAAATAAATAAAACATCCTTCTGCTCTTCACCTCGGCGTATCTTTACTGCTGTTGTCACACGGGGCAACGGACCGGGGATAGGGCAGGATGAGACGGGAGGGCAGCACTCCTGCTCCACACTTGACTAGGGGCGGAATCAGGCTTTGTTCCCTTCCAGACCTCCTGTGGGAGATCCAGGACAGCGTCAGGGGCAAAGAAGAGGGACAAAGACATCAAACAATCGACTCAAAGTGTCCGAGGCAAAGTGAAGAAGCAGGAACTGAACCAAAACGCTGACTCAAGCCTCCTCCCAGCTTTGCCCCAAAGCAAGATGGAAGTTTCGCGGCTTCACTTTGCTCCCGAAGGCCCCTTCCCATTGGTTGTCTGGGAAATTGGGGTTGTTCAATAATGTGAACGATGATTGGTTTAGCCAGGACGGTTGCTAACGCAATTGGCGCAGCCGCCACGGGAGGGCGTCGTGTAGATTTTTTTCAAACGCAAACTTGCTTGGAGAAAGAGACGGAAAGTGAGTGGGAGGGGAAAACTTGAAGCAGAGGCGGGACCAAGGATATAGGAGGCCGCATTGGTTGATTAGAGTCCGGAGGGCGGCTCTTGGACGCTTCTTTCTTGTGATTAGTCCCTTTCAGGAATAGAGGGCGGTTACGTAGGGGAAGCGGCAGAAGCGCCTAGTTCGATTGGTCGAACCTGACGGGAGGCGGTGCGTCCCCAGTAGTTGATTGGTGTAGAAGATGAGGTAGGCGGGGATATGGGCCAGAGGTTTTGTTGTGAGGGTCGGTTGTCAAGCAGCCGCCAATCAGGGCAGGAGATGGAGGCAAGTGGGGGTCGCGCTGGGAGCGGAGCTTCGGCCTCCCGAGCCGCTGCTGCAGGTGAAGTGGACGAGGGGGCAAGAAGGCGAGGGCATGATAGGTTCCCGGTTGGGCAACGCTAGGCGGGGCCGGGCCGGGCCGGGCTGCGGCGGAGAGGGCTCCGGGTCGGGGAAAGCAGGAGCCCGTGCTCCGAAAGCTGAGCGGGGTGGGAGGATAAGGCGAGGCGAGGGGCTAGTTCTGGATTCTAGGCGGGCAGAACCGCTATAGAGGCCGGAGGGGGCCACTGGGGAGGCCGGAAGCTGATCTGAGGGTCTGCTGGAGGATGAGTCATGAATACTAGAAGCAGGAGAGTGAATGAATGGAGGAAGAGGACTGGAAGGGGTCTGAGGGACCCCAGGAGACGGGATGAGCAGACACACAGGAAAGAAGAAGAGGGAGTGGACGGAGGACTAGGGAGACAGAACTGAGAGGCCCAAGGGCAGGGAGTGGGATGGGAGGGGGTTCTGGAGAAGAGGTGAGGTGTATGTGAGGAAGGGGTTAGAAGGCCCCTGAAGTGGCCTTAAAGAGCTGAGTAGTTGTGCGGGCATCTAGAGGTCTAGTCCCCAACACTGCCCTTGGGAAAGTAGGGGACAGGAGTGCGTTATTATGTTACAAACAGGAAGCTTGGACCCTTAGGACCCTCCTTGGGGTCCTCCCCAGAGAGTAGGACCTCAGGGTCCCGTTTCTGGGGTATCTCTTATGGCCCCTGCAAAGCATATCCGCTGACTCCACCCCTCTTCTCAGACGTCAGGCTGAACAGTGACTCCTAGAAATCCATCTAAACTGCAGGCACGTGGTCTTCACCCCCAGTGCTGCGCCTGCACTTTAGGCAGTCAGCGTCCTGGAGCAGAGCCACGCCCATAATCCTGGCCTCTGGGAGGACCGTCCCCCAGTGTCCCAAGCCACCTTGCTGGAATTTCTGCAAATTCTCAAACCCAATTTGCAGCACAGCTCCTGACTCTGGGAGCTTTGGTGGTGATGGCCTTGGTGATCAGACATCTGCAGGTCTGCAACCCCAGGGCTTTCCTGAGCTCCTACCTTATGTTTGCTAACAAACCACTACTTCTGTTTCTATTCCAGCCCAGTGTTGAGCTGAGATGGCTCAAGTCTGAAATTCCATGATCCCAGATCCCAACGGATGTGCACAGGCTGCTGCTGTGGATGGTTTAAAGCCACAAAGGAGTGGGAGGCCAGGAGACACGACATTCCCTCTGCCTGGATGTGTGGGAAGTCCCTCCCAACTTGACTGGTGGATCTGGGGGGGATCCACCCCCGCCCACGAGGAAAGCACCGACTGTTTGGTGAACGGGGCTCCCGTTGCCAACCAGCTGAATGATGGCAACCCCAGTAGTTACCAAGACAGCCTGGAAGCTGCGTGAGTGATTTCCTTTTTTGCCCCATTTACCCTGTGAGCCTGGACCCGCTGTGCTGTCTCTGAGCAAGATAGTTGTTGTTAATTGCCATTGAGTCAGTTCCTAATCTGAGGAACCCTATGCCGCAACAGAACAAAACACTGCCCGGTCCTGAGCCATCTGACAGTTGTTACTCATGCGCTCATTATGGCTGCCACTGTGTCAACCCATCTTGTTAAGGCAGTAAGATAGTTCAGCCTGCAAATCGTAACTGTGGCGTTTCTTAGATAGAGGACATTGAGCAAGCAACTTGACCTCTCTGAGACTCCGTTCTAGAGTTGCTGTGGGGGTCCACTGAGTTAATGAACGTAAGGCCGAGGGACTTGCACTTGCAGGATTTTTCATTAGTATAATTGTGTTTTCAGGAACCCCAAGATTTCTGGTTAGACTGGCAGGTAGGACAGGGAGAGAAAAAACGATATGTGTTCTTAGGCATTTTCAAACATCTCACAAGACAGGCTTTCCCCATCAAGGGGGACTGGCTGAGCAGGGAACAGTGGGGGTGGGCAGTGAATGCAATGAAGGCTCCTGTTAAGTATCCAGCCTGAGCACCATCCACCACACTGGTCCTCTGTACTGATGTGGGTGTGCTGTCCAGTTGATTTTCCACTAAGCAGCCCAGTGTGACAGAATCAAACTGCCCCATAGGATTGTCTAAGCTATGATCTTTAAGGGAGCAGATCACCAGGTCTTTCCTCCCTCAGAATCGCTGTGTAGGTTCGAACTACCAACCTGCTGATTATCAACTGAGTACTTAATCATTGGGCCACCAGGATTCTTTTTCTCTGTACTAATGACTCTCAAACTCGCTAATCATAAGAGCCTTTTATACTCCTAAAGAATATTGAAGAACCACCCCCTCCCCCAGCCTCATGTATGTGGGTACCATGTTAGGAATGAATACTGAGACATCTTGAACAGAAGTGTGCACAGTCACATGGGGTGGTCAGGGGCATCATCGCCTCCCCCAAGTCCTCTGGAAAGCCCCACAGTATGCTCAGGAGAGTAAAACGACACACAACAGCTCAGTCGTATCATAAAGAGAACTTTTGTCCTCCTGGACACTCTGAAAGGGTCTCAAGGACCTAAGGGGCTCCCAGATCACACTTTCAGGACTTCTGCTCTGGACCTGTCACCCTATAGGCTTACCTGACCCTGCCTCTAGGAATTGGTTGGCATAGATTTGGTGCCCCCAGCTTGCACTGATGCTGCAGTGAGCTACGTTCAGGAGCCCTAGGTGGGTCCTGGAGTCCTCAGGAAACTCCAGAGTGTCCAGCATTGCCCTCCCCGCTTGTCCTGTGAAGGAGGGAAGGAGGACCAGCCATGGGACAGGGTTCTGTCATTTTTAACATGAGACTCTGGGCAGAGCCTTTTGCTCAGTTTCCTCATTTCTAAAATGAGATGTTTGGGCCATGCTCAAGTTGGAGAAGTCTGTTCTATAATGGGCCCACAAGGAGGGCACACTTTGGATATAGTGGCTTTGTATTTGTTGGGATTGTATATCCATCCCTTCGTCTTTGGGTCTTTCCTGAGCACAGAATCAGGCACTGGGGAGCCTGTGGGGAGCAAAGCGAACCAGATCCCTATGCTCTGGAGACTGGAGAGCTGCACCCATCCAGCTCATCTTCTCCGGGAGAATACAAGCTGGGCTGTGCTTGGGTTCAGTGAACTAGGTAATGAGGGTAGGAGAGCACACTCGACTTCAAGACAGCATGTGCAAAGGCCCTGAGGCAGGATGTACACAGTGCATCGGAAGAACTAGGAAAAGGTCAGTGGGCCGAAGTCCAGCAGCGAGAGGAGTGTGGTGCCTGGTGAGGTGTTCAGGGCCCAAGGTCAAGCTGCTGAAGTGTTTAATGGGAGATCGGGGTCAGGTATATTGGGCATCTGTGAACGATCTGCACAACAGCTCTCACCAGTGTAAACTGTCTGAAGAGTCCCAGGCCAGATGACCTCTGGCTGCCTGCTAGGGTCTGGTGAGGGTACAGTCATTGAGGCACTTGTGGGCCAGAAGACCCAGTGTTCCCCAACTCTGGCTGGGGTGTGGGGTCCAGCTTTTTGCCAACTGGGCTTGGAAAACCAGTGTGGACTATGCCCCTGGGTGGAGCTACAGCTGACACTCTGGCTCTAATAGACCACGTGAGGATGTTGTATGAACATCGGTACCAGGCCAGAGGGGCCGCTTTTGGGCAGTGCCACCGGTTCCTTCACAGGCATCAAATCAGTTGTTGGTCAGACTTCAGAGAGGAGAGTGGCCTGGGCCCTTCCAGAATGGGCCAACCTCCAAAGCCCTCACCTATTGTCTGGTTCTATGTGCTGGAACAAGAAGGCTCTCATCTCCTAGTGCCGGCCAGGCAGGGCCTAGGGAAGTGTTTACATTCTAAAAGACTGATGTAGCTGGAGACCATAGTCTTGGGGCTCCAAGGGATTTCCTGGGTTCCCCCCCCACCCCCAGGAAGATTGTGGGAGGAGGGCAGTGCCTGCAGGGAGTGTCTTAGAGGAGAGCAGCTCAAGCTTGGGGGCAGGTAGCTTCTCAGGGCTGGGCGGCTACGTTGGCCTAGCTAAAGCTCTTAAACAGTGTCTGTGACCAGAGCACCGAAGGTATACGAGGACAGAAGGCTCCCCAGGTAAGGTGAGGACTCCAGAGGGTCCAGCTCCAAATGATGGGCTTCCTGAGACCCAAGCTTGGGCCTGCTGAGGTCTTTCGCCCTGATTGCGGCTGGGCCCGGGGTTGCCCTGAGGGGAGATCAAGCCTGGGCCTAGGCTTATCCCGGGCACTTGTGAGAGCCCCTCTGAGCCAGCTGGGCCCAATCTCCCACTTCCTTCTGTTCACACCTGCATTGCCACGCAGGGTGGAGTGCGGAGCTGAGGTGTGGGAACAGCCCTCTGTGAGCACCTGCAACACCCTTTTTCTTGCATCAGTCAGTCTCCCTATTGCCTCGCGCCTCATTGGGGTTTTCCCTGTCTCTTCTCTGCAGTCCCAAGAGGAACTGCCGGGACCGGCTCCAAGGCCTGGGCTCGCCGCTTAGTTCCTTGGCCACGTGTGTTCCCTTTGGCGCACTGACATTACCTGTTTGAGGCTCATGTCTGCTGCCCCCACTGTGGCCCCCCATGTCCCTCCGGTCTGTCAGCCTTCATCCCTGCCCTCTCGCCCCAGACTTCTCAGTGTTGTGCCCCGTGCCCCCTACTTCCTAGGTGGCCTGTCTTCAGCCTGCCTAGCAGTCATGGGCACTCTTGCAGCTTGGCAGCCCAGGGGCATGTGTTCAGTGACTGCTCAGCAACCTGTGTGAGGTGCTGTTATCATCCCTGTTTAACAAATGAAGAACTGAGCCACTCAGAGAGGGTGAGTGACTTGTCTGAAGTCACACAAGCCGCAGCAGTAGAGTCCAAAACCCAGATCTCACCTGTCTCACCTGGTGACAGTTTGTCTAGAATTGACATGAATGATTCTTACAGTGTTTGCCAAGTGTAGGGTTTGCGTGCCCATAAATGCATCTGAGAGGGGCTTAGATGGTACATGGGTGCTTATGTTTCATTTCTATCTTGGTTTCTTTGTGTATAATAGAAATGTAAGTGGATACACCAAACTTGTAATTTCATCGATATGATTACTTAAGTAAGACAAAGGTAAATAAAAACAGCAAGTCCGTAAGAAAAACGAGTAAGTCAATAATATTGCCAGCAGTAAAAGGAGAAGGAAAAAAACCAGACTGGCAAGAGTTACGGACAAAAATGGCTCAAGTTGAGAGACGGCCATTTCCAGCTCAGGCCCCAGCGGCTCCTCTGGCTTCTGAGAAGGGGTCCTGTGGGAGCCAAGGGAAGGAGGAGAGCAAGCCCCCTGCCCCGGCTACAGGTTCTGGAGCTGGTAGCTGAAGAGGACTGGCCCCGCCAAGCCCCCTGACTGTGTCTCTCTCTCCCCCTTTCCTGTGTAGAGGAGATTGTTGCCCATGCCAGCAACGTGTCTTCACTGGTGCTGGGCAAAGGCTCCGGGCGACTGCTGGCTACTGGCGGGGATGACTGCCGTGTTAACCTGTGGTCCATCAACAAACCCAACTGCATCATGGTGAGTCTCACTGGCCAGTGGGGACGGTTGGGCCAGGGGGAGAGAGATGGTGGGCAAAGGCCTGCAGGGGGACTCTGCAGGTTTTGTCGAGCTCAGGGCGTTCTATCTGGTGGCCCAGCTGGAAACCATGGGGTTTCTGAGGCTGTGATCTTCACGGGAGCAGACTGCCCCAGCACTTCACCACGGTGCCACTCGGGCTCCTTACATATACACATAATGAGAAAATCCCGTTATCTTTTCATTCCATTTTTACCACAAACTTTTTGAAGCCCCCCTCACGCAAAATCTGTTTTCCAGAATGCTTATCTTACTCTTATAGCCTGGTTTTTTAAAATAACAATTTTGTGAGCCAACAAATGCCTCTTTTTAGCATGATTGGGAGGGCTTCATGGTATTCCATTGTAGGGACAGTTTGCTGAGCCACACTCCTCCGTTACCAGCATGGAGGTCATTTCTGGTTTGGGGGCGCTTCTAAAACCACACTGTGGTGAGCATCCTCACCTCCCTAAGTCTTGGAGCAGATCTCTGATCTTTGCATGAAACCCTAGGGTGGGCACTTCCTTAAAGACTTTCAAAACATATTGCCAACTGCCCTCCACAGCTGAGTAAGAGTGTGTCCTCTTCCCCAAACCCTTATTAGCAAAGGGTGTTCTCATCCTCTGACTCTTGGCCAGCTGAAGATTCTGATTAAAGAGCGGTGGGAAGTGGTACTCACGGGTAGAAACTTGATCACCTCAGCATTTTTGTGAGCTCCAGGGGGGTTGCCCACAGTTAGGTCCAGTAAGGACAGGATTGAGAGTTAGTGTTTTACAGTCATGTGCTGTGTAACGTTAGTAATGGTTAAGGTTGTGTGTCAGCTTAGCTGGTCTGTGATTCTTGGTACTTTGGTAGGTCTGATGTAATTTGGCAGCTAGGTAATGATCCCCCCATTTTGTGGTCTCACACAGCATAATCACTTCCCTGAAGAGATTCCCTATGAGCAGTCAGTCAGTTGAAAGGGGCTTCCTTGGAAAGGTGGCCTCTGTCTCTGGCTTCTTTTGCTGATCTTGGGCTCAGTCGGTTTCTGCAGCCTACAAGCCTACCATCTTACCTGCCTGTCTTGGGCTTCACTAGCCTTTGCAGCAGTGGCCTGCCATCTGACCTGCAGACTTTGAGGTATCAGCCTCTATAGCTATGTGCTTCGGACTTGGGACTTGGCAACCTCTCCAACCTGCCAGTCTCCCTGTGAGACATTTCCTTACAATAAATGTCTCTCAATGTATACATATGTAAGCATTACAGGTTCTACTTTCCTAGAGAATCTAGCTGAAGACTGTGTCAGTTCAGGCAACATCCAACCACATGTATGTTGTGGTCCCGTAATGTTAAAGTAGAATTCAGAAATCACGATTAAGAATGGGACATGCAGCACCTGTATCCCATGTCTCTTGTATACAAAGCGATTATGCTCCCAGGTGTGTCATGGTCCAGATCATGCATGATGGTCAGTCACAAAGTATTGGTACTAGGGTTCTAGTTCATACATGTGCAGTTTTCTTCTAAATCAATGGATAGCTGCAGACAGAGTCCCTCAGTGTTGCACTGTCTTAGTCTTAGGATGCCGTAAAAAAAAAAAAAAAAAAGATCCAATCAAAACAGTGGCTTCCAAGGGGGCCTGCTAGGCCATTTAAACTCAAGGCGGAGAGGTCAGCTCAGAAGGTATAGCAACTGTATTGTGGGATTCCAAAGGGGTAAACTTGATAGATTTTTCTCAAAGGACTCAAGATGATCCCAAAGGACTCAAGGGGCTGATTACAAAGAACTTTTAAGAACATCAAAAGCTGCCTTGGTAAAAAGTCCAGAAGAGTTGTGCTGAGGAATTTTTTAATAAAGGTGTCTGTGATTTTGTAGCAGTACTTTTTGACTTAGCCGCACGTCACCTACAATCATTGTGGTGTAAGCCTATCTATTGCTGGCTAATGTCTGCACGGTATATTGCACTCTCTATCTGAAAAATGTACCGTAGAACAGTGTGCGTTTCCATCTGTAGGTAGCAGCACCCAACCTCATGTATTGAGTATGAGGTCTCTTGAGTGTTCTAGCATTATCTGTCTGCTTAATTTGCTCTGAAAAATATGACCATGAAGTGCATCATGTTCCCAAATGCAACAGAACCAGTACTGGTGAGAGTAGCTTCAGGAGGCAAAGGAGAGGATTTCTACTAGGAAGTGAAACCAGGATTATTAAACATGAAGGCAGATTATTAAACATCTGAAAATGCTATTGTTGCTCGTGATTTACACATGTCACACTCAACAATCATGACAATTCTTAGAAACAGAGCAAAAAAATTCTCCAAGCTGTTCAAGGGTCTGCTCCACTGAAAGCTACAAGGCTAACGAAAATGGGAGTGGACCTAGATCAGATACAGAGACATGCTCATGACGTGGATCGAGAACCAGACACAAAGTGAATTCTTTTGGCATGAGGGTTAACAATCATGGCTAAAGTGGAGCTTGTTCAAGATGCTTAAAGCAAAGGCAGGACCAGGCTAATAGTTCCCACCATGTCCAAATGACATAATGTCTTGCTTCACAGTATGTATCATGCACCTTAAGTAGCACATGACTCAACTTTGTTTTGCTGTTTTTAGGGTTCAAAGTGTTGTGGATATTTTTCCTGAAATGCCAAAGTAACATACATATCTTGAAAAGAAATCAGTGGACTTATAAAAACAGGCATGAAGTGTCCCCGTGCTCACAGACCTAGAGGAGGACAGTGAACGTTCCAGTGCCTGGCCTTTCAGATTTATGAGAGCCTGCCAGCCCGCTTACAACCAGCCTCTGGCCCCTTCACGTCCAACTGGCCTCCTCTCTCCCCTCACACACCACATTTCTGACCCCCAGGCCTTCATTTTCTCATCTTAGGTTGTATTATATCTGTTCGTGCAAGTCCCTTTGCAGACTCATTTATTTTGATTTTTGAGCCAGTAAAGCACTCTTGCAGGTCTGACATTCAAAAGATGCAGAGTAAACCATGAGTCCCTTCCTGTAAGTGACCCCGCTTCTCACTGTTATTTTATGCATGCTGTTGTTAAGTGCCATCGAGTCAATTCTGACTCATAGTGACCCTATATAGGGTTTCCACGGAGCAGCTGTTGAGTGTGAATTGTTGACCTTGTGGTTCAAGCCGACCTTGCAGTCTGATGCTTTATCCCATAGCACCACACCCGGAGCAAATATGGGTTCCTTTAGCTCATCTCCATTTTTACATAAATGCATCATACATGGCCCTTCCTCATTTTTTTTTATCTCAAATATTATAGATTAATCTTTATCATATTTTAAGAATTGCCCAGTTTTTGTTTTTGTTTGTTTTATGGCTTAATAGTGTTTTGTTGCCTGGGGACCGTGGACGATCGCGGCTTAGCTAACCACCAGTTTCCTTTGATGGACATTTATGTTGTTCTCAAGTGTTGTGAATGCACACAGCACTGCAGTTATTAGTCTTGCATGGATGTTTTCACGTGTGTTGGAGCATGTCGAGGGTCAGTCCCCAGAAGTGGAATTGCTGGGTGGAAGGAAACGGGCATTTCTAATTTGGAGAGAAATGTTCTCCAGTAGGGGCAGCCTCCACAGAGTTTGTGTCCATTTATTCTCCTATGGGTAGGTAATGTCTGGGGATCAGACTAACTACTCAAACTGTCTGGCCTGCAGGCAGTTCTGCTGCAGAGCTCTGCCCCCACTGCCCCAGGCCCATGGGTGGGGATAAGCCTCAGGATGGCCAGCTCTGGTGGGAAGTGGCAAACACTGGACTTCAGAAGCTGGCAGTGCAGCAGCCCGACTTGTCAGAGAGACTGTGCTGGACCTGGCTCAGACGTGCCCTGCTCTAGCCTGCTCTGTGTTGAGTGAACACCCTTTGTTCTCCAGCCAAGCCTCTGCCTGGCAGAGTCATCAGTGGAAGCAGCCTCTAGAGTATACCCAGGCATTCCAGAAGGACGAGAAATGGGCCTCTGTTCCTGAGGGGCCTGAGTGGAGAGTGGAGCAGTGCCACGGTGGGCAGAAAGGCAGCAGGGGTGGGAGGGGTTGGAGGCTGACTGGAGTCTGGCCCCCTGTGGCGGTGGAAACTGAGGTGGGAGAAGGCACAGCCCCCGTTTAAACCGCTTCTTGCTGGGGCCTTCGCTGGGGACCCAGAACTTTGTCAAAGCACCACACTGAAGTTGCTGCATCTCTCCACAGAGCCTGACAGGCCACACGTCTCCCGTGGAGAGCGTCCGCCTCAACACTCCTGAGGAGCTCATTGTAGCCGGCTCCCAGTCGGGCTCCATCCGCGTCTGGGACTTGGAAGCTGCCAAAAGTAGGCCTCCTCACCTGCCTCCCCTCACTCCCCACACACTGCTCCTCTGCGTCTTTAGCCTCTGGGGTCCTGTCCCTTCCTCTGGGTAGCTTTTCCTGACTCGGTTAAGTGCTTCCTTCCTGGGACACAGGCCAGATGGTATGGTGGCCACTTCCCCCAGCCTCACTCCCCATTAGCCTGGCACAGTGTTTATTGCTGCATCTCCAGGGACTGGCACTGAGGAGGCTCACAGCAAATGTTTGAATGAATAACTGGGTAGATGGATGGATGGGTAGATTGATTGTTAGATGTGTAGATTGATGGGTGGGTGGATGCATGGATGGGTGTACATGTGGATTGAGAACTTGGAAGAAAATCAGATGCCACCAGAGCCACACAGGACATGTAAAGGTGAAGTGGCTGTGTGAGGTCTCTAGGACTGAGGAGTGTGTGCCCCGACACAGGGTCACCCCTACACAGCTCTGGATGATTTGCTTTCAGTGGACCTGTGATAGATAGCCAGATCTGCTTGCTTGTTTTTTGTTTGTTTTAATTTTTGTCTTTATAAAAGTTATGCATTGGTTAAAAAAATCAGAGCTTGGTAATTGTACATAAGGAAAACAGGAAGCCCCTGCCCCAGCCCTGCCCAGTCTCCAGAAGCCGTAACATTTTCTGCTGTTGCCTTGGCTCATTATCTCTGCTTTTTACATGACCTAGTTAGACTGCAGTTTTGTCTTTGTAACACGTCTTAGACATTAGATGCTGACTTTCTCCTCTGCAAGGTGAAGACTTTGCACTCTCCTGTAAATATCCTGTGATGCCTGTAGTCCATGAGCCATATCAATCGTATTCCCTGTGATTCTACTGGTTTTTTCAAAGAACTTTGTTTCCCTAGAGTTCATCATTATTCCATCTCTTTTCATCTCCGTTTTTTTTCTACATCGCTATTATGAATTCCTCCCGGCATTGTGTCAGAAAGTGAACCTCTTCCTGTCACTCTCAAAGCCTTCCTGTGATCGAGGTGTCTCTTGGAGCTTGTCTCCTGGTCCTCCTGGACCTGTAGCCCAGCTGTCCTCGTGTCTTGGGACCTCTGTGTCTCATTGGGGATTCACTCCCTGTTTCTGCTGCACCAGGTCCCACGCCTTTGTCTTTCTTGCTTTACTCTCTTCGATGGTACACATTCTTACACAGGTTGCTAAGAAACGTGCGTGACAGGCACAGCATTGGGGACCACCCATGGCTGAACATGACTTTATTTTACTCCCGTACTTCTGTGTTTTTCAACTTTGAGTATAAAATTTTGGTAGATAAATAGCTGCTGTCAAGTTGACTCCAAATGATGGCAGCCTTATGTACAACAGAAGGAAACTTTGCAGTCCTGCAGCATGTCCCTGGTTGTGGCTGTTGTTCCAACCCACTGCACTGAGGGCCTCCCTCAGCCTCTCTGCTCTCTACTTCATTAGCCTGATGTTGCCCGTCAGCAGTCAGCCCCTCCTGATGATGCGGCCACAGCCAATGAGTCAGCGCTCTGCTGTGACCCTAGGTTTTCATTGGCTCATTTTACAGAAGTAGATTGTCAGATCTTTCTAGTGTGGCTGGGTCTGGAAGCGCCACCAAAACCTGGCCACCCTGGATGACCCCGCTGGTATCTGAAATATCAGTGGCATCACTACCAGCATCACAGCAACACACAAGCCCCCATACACTGACAGACAGATGGTTAATAGAATTCTAGGTTGAAAATATCTTTCCCTCAGAATTTTGAGGGTTCACCTCCACTGCCTTCTAGGGCCCAGGGTTGTTGCTGAGAGGTTCTGGGTCGTTCGTAGTGTTGGCCCTTTTTGTGGGACCTGCTTCTCTCTCTGTAGGACTTTGTCCACAGCGCTTTGACCCACTGAGACGAACCTTGGTGTGGGTCTATTTCAGTCCTGAGCTAGGTTACCTGCCGGACTCTTTCTGTCTGGAAACTCCTGCCTCAGGGCTGGGCCCAGCTCAGTGTGGCCACCTGGGATGTGGGTGCACAATTAGGATCAGGATTGCCAGCTCTATGGATTTTTCACAGGAAAATGGAAATTGGGATATTTATGTAGAATCCATTCATTTAAAATCATTGGCAACATTTTTAGAAAGCATTGTGTAGACCAATACTGAGGCCTGCACAGTGCTTTTTCAAAATGTTTAAAACTGTGAGACCAAAACACAACCTGTTTACTCTCTTTCTGGCAACCTCTGGTCTCCATCTTCTAGCCTGCCAGGCAGGAGGTCACCTGCTGCCTGAAACGCAGGAGAAGCAGCAACATTGGGTGGATTTTGCTGAGGCTTCTTCTTCCAGAAAAGGCCCTTTTCTCCCATCACGTCCTCAGCCTCTGCTGTAGAATGGGGTCGTTGTCCGGCTGGGGATAGGTGGTCGTCAGAAGGATGCCTCTGTGGGATACATGCCTTGTGTCCATGAAGAGCCCTGGGACTTCCTGGTGAAGAGGCAGGGACTACTGGGGAAGCGTCTCAACAGGCTGGCCCTGCTCTTGGCACACCCTGGGCCCAGGGCATCAATGTGCTATGCCTGGGCGTCACAGGACTCTGCGTCCAGGGAGGAGCAAGCAGGCTCAGGCCCAAGGCAGTTGCTTCCTGGGAATCTCTGCCTGTCCTTGAGCCCAGTAGACAGCCGCCAGTCTTTCACTGAAGAGCAAGGGGAGAGAGAGAGAGAGAAGGTAGAGGCTCCTTGCTCCTGACCGGGGCTTCCTCACCATGATTTTCTCTAATAAACCATGTATGAGGAATTCCCCGAGGTAGCTGAAGAATGAAAACTAAAGACTTGGAATTCCTAAACACTGGGCTTCCCCCACCAGGCCTGGATATATACTGCTCAGAGCTTGTTACAAACACTGCAGATGTCCCCCTCAGAGCACCTAAGCAGGTTTTGGGTGACCCAGGATCTGCATTTTTCAGCATCTCCCAGGTGATTCATATGCAGAGCCAGAGCTGCCCTCAGGATCACACTGCCAGATGGTGGCAGAGGCTTACACGAGAGCCCTGGGGTTAGGATGCCCATCCTGTGCTCTCCCTCCTGTCAGGTGCTGTCTCCAAGTCTGGGGGACCCCAATGCGAGAGAAACTTGCCTTCAGCTAAGACCTTAGGTCTGTCTCCATCCACACACACCACGGTATAGGTGAGAGAGACCGAGTGGTAAACTGAGGCCCTGAGACAGGGTCCCTGTGTAGTAGAGGCTGAGCAGCTGCTTGGCTTAAGGGTCTGGACATTCTCGCATGGGGCAGACAGACCCTGGAGTCCCCTCCACCCTGTAGCCCTCTGGGCGCCAGGAGGCCTCCTAGAACTTTCCTGGGGCAGAAATCACGCCAGAAGAATGCGGCCCTGCCTGCTCTCCCCAGCGCAGCCACCTCACATCAAGGCGGCCTATACTTCCAGAAACCAGCAGCCCACGCATGGGCCAAGCCCGCCCTGCACCTCTTCTCTAGGCAGGGCGGGATTTTGAAAGCCTCCCTACCCGATGCTGAGTGAGTGGGCTGGTGGGTAGGTATGGAGTGAGTAGAGCAGGAGCCAGCATGCGTCTGCCCCTGTGGGCTCTGCAGTGGCACCTCTACTGTGTTTCTGGGGCCTCAGCAGCACGAGAGCCCAACAGGAGTAAGGAGGGGCCGGCACCTTGTCAGATCTCACCAGGGCCTGCTGCTGGGAGGTAGTGGACAGGGTACAGAGAGTCAACTTTGTCCTCAGTGTGGCTAATAACTGGCTGCCACCTTTGTTCCTGCTCTTCTGTGTGTCTGTCCCTGTCAGGAATGCCGCTGAAGAGTCAGACTGCCTGGCTCATTGGCCTCAGGCAGATACTTAACCCCGTGAGCTTCAGGCCCTAGTCCAGCCCCGGTCCCACACAGGACATGCTTGACAGGCCGCCTGGGGACAAGGGAGGTGTCCTGAATGCCACAGGAACTGGGGCATGTGCTCAGAGGCCTGAGGAGAGAAGGGAGCCGGTCCAGTTCGGGATAGGGTGAGAGATGGCTGTCATGTGGGAAGAAATAAGACCCAGGATGCTTATTTGTAGCAGGGCTATGCTGAGCATTTTATGTCCAGTTTTGATTTTTTACTTAATTCTGACCATGACCCTTTACAAGGCTCAGAGAGGGTAAGTGATTGATTAGGGTTGCACAGCAAAGTGAGGAGCAGAGTCAGGCCCCATCCTGGTTCTGTAAGGTTCCACATCCCACAGTAGAACTCACTTAACCCACCTAGAGCTTGATTCTCATCTCTGCTGTCCAGAAGTGTGAACATCTAGAGCCCACTTGAATCTTCTCCAGTAGGGAACTCTCCTCACAAGGCACCCTGTTTCTACTTGGCTCTAACCTCAGGATGTCTGGATTCCTACACCTTTTGGCCTGAGCACCCATGGTGATTGGTTTCATTCAGGCAGTGGAATGACAAATCTGTAAAAAGCAAGGCAGAGAGAAAAGACACATTTAAGGAGCACAGGCTTTGTCTGTGACCTGGCCTGGCCACAGAGCTGGAGGCAGTGCCTTAAAGGATAGGGGACGTAGATTCCGGGGCAGTGGTGGGTGACCACCACCCTCTCTGTTCTCACAGCATATCACATCTGTCTTCATTGCCACACTCAAAAGACCCCTCAGACAGGGCCCACCTGTTAGAGGATCAGTGTGAACACCAGCTTCTGCCCACCGCTTCCCTCGTCCTCCACCCACTGAGCGCTTGCTCACATGCTGCCCCCATAAAGCCCCCTGGATGTCTCGGCCCAGCCAGTAGGCTCTTCCCTGCCCTGAATCTGCCCTGCGTCTTTATCTTCATGTTCACGCTGGCCTTGCTGACCAGGAGTACCATCTGCTGGGCCAGAACCACACACTGTAATTCTCTGGATCTGCTGACTGGTATGAATCTTTGAAGAACACGCTGGGACTAGCCCAGAGGCACCTTCTGTGGGGCTCTGGAAGTGTTTCCTAGGGGTGTACGTAATGACAGAAAAGGGTGCCTCCTCTCCGGAGAAAACCAGGAAGAGTGTTTAAGAGACTGAAACTCTGGTTGATTTTTTTTTTCACCTCTCGATTTTTAGATGTGTTAGTGTTTGATTTTTCGGTTGATATTAAAACACACACACACACACACACACGAACAAAGCAGCCCGTCCTCTGCTGGCCACTTGTTTGCTGCTCACGAAACTATCTCTGCTTGCTTCCTGGGTAGTTCTGCGCACACTCGTGGGACACAAAGCCAACATCTGCAGCCTGGACTTCCACCCATACGGCGAGTTTGTAGCCTCCGGATCCCAGGACACAAACATCAAGGTGAGGTCTCCCGTGGGCCGGGTGTTTGGTTCTGTCTTGGGGGTCTTCTCGCTCTGATATAGTGTCCACATTCTCACAGAGAGAGCTCCCAGCTCCAGTGGTTTCAAGTCCTTGCAGTGTTGAGGGGCTGGGGTGTGGAGGGGTGACCTCTCCTGACTGTTGCTCTCCTCCACAGCTCTGGGACATCAGGAGGAAAGGCTGTGTTTTCCGGTACAGGGTGAGGCACCCTCTGTGGGGCACCCTCCATAACACTGGCTGGGTGGGGTGGGGGTCGCCAATCAATACTGGTGAGAAACGGAGAGGCCAGAGGAGGAAGTGGGAGCACCACGGTGGTCGGCCTTGGCCTTGTCTGAGCGCCCCCAGAGCCACGTTCAGCGAACTGCACTGCCCACTCCCTCCTGTGGGCAGGTGACACTTGTCATGAGGTGAGTGTGGTAGCACTGGTTCTAACCCAGCGGTTGACAGTAGGGGAGTGGTCATAGAGATGGCATCTCCCAAACCGCGCAGTCTTGATCTTCCGGAGTGTCCTGTAGGACTGGAGTCCGCGGCACACGAGAAATGTCCCTGGAAGGCACTGCATGTGAAGGTGAGGTGGGGAGAGAGCCCCATTGGGTTCCATCTTCTCCACAGGGGCACAGCCAGGCTGTACGGTGTCTCCGGTTCAGCCCTGACGGGAAGTGGCTAGCATCGGCCGCAGACGACCACACAGTGAAGGTAGCTGGTGGCCTGGCCTGGGCCCTGGGTCCTCATCCCTCTCCTGATGGGCTTGCATGTGGAGTGGACGGTGGTTATGTGGACAGGGACATTGGCCCTGACCCCCCACTCCCTCTTCCGCCTCGCTGCCTCCTCTCCCAGCTCTGGGATCTGACTGCTGGCAAGATGATGTCTGAGTTCCCTGGCCACACAGGACCAGTCAATGTGGTAGAGTTTCACCCCAATGAGTACCTGCTGGCCTCTGGCAGCTCTGACAGGTGAGAACTACCGCCTCATGTACATGAGCCTCTTCCCAATCTGCTGTCTGTTCCGGTGTTTTGACACCTGGTGATCCGACCTTGTGTGGCTGCCGATGGCCCTCGCCCTGTCCTGCCTGTGTCTCTGATCCCAGGCCCTGGGGGAGAGGTGTCTGTAGAGGTGCCTGTGTGGAGGCCAGAACGTGGACTTCTACACAACCTGGCTGCCTTTGCAGGACAATCCGCTTCTGGGATCTGGAAAAATTCCAGGTGGTGAGCTGCATCGAAGGAGAGCCGGGGCCTGTCAGGTACGCAGGCAACAGGAGGTGGTGTGGGCAGACCTTCCCCACAATCACTTCCATCCCTTCTGTCCTGAGCTCGCGGGCTCCTGGGTGTCTTGGGGTGGGGCCAGGCTGGGGGCCCTGGACCCACGGCCACCTCTCCCTGGCCAGGAGTGTCCTCTTCAACCCCGACGGCTGCTGCCTGTACAGTGGCTGCCAAGACTCACTGCGCGTCTATGGCTGGGAGCCTGAACGCTGTTTCGATGTGGTCCTAGTGAACTGGGGCAAGGTGGCCGACCTGGCCATCTGCAACAACCAGTTGGTAAGAGAGCACAAAGGCCCGGGCCACTGCCCTGCCCAGCCATGCCTACCTCTCCTGGCTGGGATCTTGCCCACCCATCCCCATGCCCCAGGGTCCAGCCCCTAGGCCCAGCCCCAGCTCTGCCGCTTCCTGCAGATAGGTGTGGCCTTCTCCCAGAGCAACGTCTCCTCTTATGTGGTGGACCTGACCCGGGTCACCAGGACAGGCACGGTGGCTCAGGACCACGTGCAGGACAGCCGGCCCCTCGCGCAGCAGCCGCCCAACCCCAGCGCCCCCCTTCGGCGCATCTACGAGCGGCCGAGCACCACCTGCAACAAGCCTCAGAGGTGGGGGCTCTGGGGGTGCTCAGGAGGTGGACCCCTCACAGTGGGGGCTGCATGGGACCTGGCTCTGGGCCTCACCAGGCACCTGGCCTGCCCCTTAGGGTGAAACAGAACTCAGAGAGCGAGCGTCGAAGCCCCAGCAGTGAGGATGACAGGGACGAGCGGGAGTCTCGGGCCGAGATCCAGAATGCCGAGGACTACAATGAGATCTTCCAGCCCAAGAACAGCATCAGTGAGGCCCAGACTGCAGTGCCACCTCCCTTCATTCCTAACCTGCAGCTGGGCCCAGGGTCTCTGTCCCTTCTGTGTCCCTGAGGGATGCGGTATTCCCATTAGAGGCTGGTGCCCACTCTGAGCCAAGGAAGGGCCCACAGGGGCACGTGGGCTGGGAGGGTTGTAGGCCTGAAGGCTGTGTCTCCAGGAACCTTCCCATCCCCCACATCCTGACGGAGCCTTCAGCCCCAGGGCTCCCAGACAAGAGGGCTGAGCCCTGAGCCTGTTTGCCTCTGCAGGTAGGACCCCACCCCGAAGAAGTGAGCCCTTCCCGGCACCCCCAGAGGATGGTGAGTCAGAGGGCAGAGCCTGGGTGTTTGTGCCCCTGGTCCTCCCTCCCATCCCCACTCACTGAGTACCGTGAGAGCTCCAGCCCCCACCTGGATGAGCTCCCTCCTCCCAACCTGCCCCCAGGCTTCCCATCTCAGGACACTGGTGATGGCAAGCAGGCACACACCCTGGGAAGGAGAGCAAGCAGTAGGCAGACCACACATAGATGCCACACAGGGATGCACACAGAGCGGGAAGGAACTGGGCATGGGGAGAGAAGTTAGGATGGTTGGTTGGGAGCATCGAGGGCCTGAGGGCCAGGAGGAGAGGCAGAGAGGAGGCTGGGAAATGGCCTGGGTTTGGCCTGAGGGCAGTGGGATGTGCCCTGGAGGATTTGAGTGAGAGCAAACATGATCTGCCCTGTGTGACTGGGGAGGGGTAGACCTATAGCATCCCTTCTTCATCCAGCTTTCCCTCAAGGGGCCATCTTCTGGTTCCCCCTCTTCCACTTTCTCCTCACCATCCACTCCCTGCTGTCCCCACCCCCATCCCCATCTCCCAGTGATCTACACACCCTGAGTCCAGTCCACGATCTGTAGTGGAAGGAGCCTGGCTCTGAGGGGCCCATACCCCCATCCTGCTGGCCTTCACCTCCCCGAGTCCTAGCTCACCACACCACAGTCCCTACTCCTGACCTGACACCCACCCCCACCCTCACCTCCCACATTCTCTCGTTTCAGACACAGCCACAGTGAAAGAGGCAACAAAACCCAACCCTGTCGTGGACATCCAGTTCCCGATGCCAAACGTAGGTCTGAGTGGAGAGGGCTGGGTGGGGGCCTGATGGGGCTGGAGCCTGGACAAGGTGGGGCTTGTCCTTGCCTGAAGCTGAGAGGGGGGCCTCAGGTCCGCCCCCTGAGCTCTAGCCCCCTGCAGTTCCAGGTCCCGTCCCAGCCCCCGGCAGTATCCTCCACACCTGCACCCAAGGCTGAGCCTACCATCATCCCTGCCACCCGGAACGAGCCCATAGGGCTCAAGGTCGCCGACTTCCTGCCCGTGAGTGGGGGTCCAGCCCTCCGACTGCAGTGGGGGCATGTAGTGGGGGGCAGGCAAAGCTTTGCCACCTGCTCCATGCCAGTGTCGGGGTGCCGGTGCCCTGCAGGCCGTGAAGATCCCCCAGCAGGTGGAGCTGGTCGACGAGGACGCCATGTCCCAGATCCGCAAAGGCCACGACACCATGTGTGTGGTGCTCACCAGCCGCCACAAGAACCTGGACACGGTGCGGGCCGTGTGGACCACGGGCGACATCAAGGCAAGGGTCTCCCCCCACTGCATGGGCCTCACTCCCCACCCTCCCCTGCCCACCCTGGACTCGGCTCACAAGGGTCCACCACACACTGCCGCTGCTGAGCCCCCATTGGGCGACTCTACCGAACAACAGGTGCGGAGTCGCTTTGGGCAGCTTGGCCCCTTCCTGACCAGCTCCCCAGCACAGCTCACACACACTCACCCATACAGAGCCGCAGTGCCCACGGTACGGGCAGCTGTGAGGGGGGTCCTGTCTTCCACAGACATCAGTGGACTCTGCTGTGGCCATCAACGACCTATCGGTAGTGGTTGACCTCCTCAACATCGTAAACCAGAAAGCGTAAGTGACCACAGGGGCTGGTGTGGGCAGAGTGGGCTAGCCTGGTGCTGGCAGCACATGGCCCCTCCCTCCCCTCCAGCTCCTTGTGGAAGCTTGACCTGTGCACCACGGTCCTGCCGCAGATCGAGAAGCTTCTGCAGAGCAAGTATGAGAGGTATGTGGGGGCCAGGCCAGGTGTCTGTGGGCCCCTGCTCCTCGCTTATCTTGCTCTCTGACATTGTGTTCCTCTGGGTTCACCCATCTGCCCCCGAAGCTACGTCCAGACAGGCTGCACCTCCCTGAAGCTGATCCTGCAGCGGTTTCTGCCTCTGATCACGGACATCCTGGCAGCTCCACCCTCAGTGGGCGTGGACATCAGCCGCGAGGAGAGGTGACAGGGTGGGCGGTCTGTGTTAGAAGAGGGTATTGTACCAGGTGATGGGAAACAGGCCTGTGGCTGGCTTCACTCAGCGTCGTGGTGAGGGGGACACTGGGGGGCAGTGGCTGAGGGGGGCTGACCTGGGTAGGCCCTGCACTCCAGGCGGGAAGGGGGCTGGCAAGGGCCCTAGGGACCCCTCCTCAGGCACTGTCCTCTGCACAGGCTACACAAGTGCCGGCTCTGCTACAAGCAGCTCAAGAGCATCAGTGGCCTCGTCAAAAGCAAGTCTGGTCTGAGCGGACGCCACGGCAGTGCCTTCCGAGAGCTGCACCTGCTCATGGCCAGTTTGGACTGAGGAGTCCTGTGGGTGAGGGCACCCGGCAGTTCTCGGGGTACCTGTCCGTGTGCCCACTGGCTCCTGAGCCTCTGCCTGGCCCCCACTGCTGCCCTGAGTCTGTTCCAGAGGCTGCAGCAGCACGGCACTGGTCACCTCCACAGCCCCGGACTCGGAGACAACGCTCCAGTGACAGCTGCCCAGCTTTGCCCAACTTGTGCTTCTTGGGACAGCAAGTCCAGCCCTGGGACTGTTGCTGTAATTTATAAGGCGGATTTTATTAAATTTGTAACTATTCCATGGCTTCTTTGCGGAGAGGGGCAGTCTCTGACCACCACAGCTCTTGCTGGTCTCTTCAGGCCGGTCACTTCCCCGGGGACAGTACTAGGCTGCAGGGCCGGCAGGGGGCAGCAGAGTGATGGACTGGCCTGGAAAGGGTGGCTCGGCCATGTTGTGGGGGGGGGGAGCGGGGGGAGGGCAGGTAAGACAGCAGGAGGGGCTAAAACTTGGAGAAACAGTGTGAGAGCCCCCACCAGCCCATCCCGACCAGACTCCCAGTTGTTCTAGGGACCCCGCCAAGGCTGCCAGGTGCCCAGTCAACAGGTGTCAGACCCCATCCTCACAGGGAGGGTGACCCAGAATCCAAAACTCTCCTCCTGCCTCCCCACCAGCATGTCTCTGGGGACAGGACTGAGAGGCAGTTACCACCCCCTGGAGGCCTCTGAACAAAAGCCCTAGTGCTGTCTGGCCAGAATGGGCAGCAGCTGGTCTGTCCCAGTCAGGGAGAGAGAATCCCATGGGGGCCCGCATGCTTCCCCCAAGACTGGGAGCAGGTGTAAGCCAACATACCCACTGGGGAAGAGGCGGGTGGGAGGCCAGGGAACCTCAGCCTTAGCTTCCCATCTATGACAAGGACGTGATCACTGCCATTGAGTTGATTTTGACTCATATCGACCCTTTAGAACAGCATAGAACTACCACGTAGGGTTTCCAAGTCTTTATAGCAACAGACAGCCTCATCTCCTCCTCTGGACTGGCTGGTGGGTTTGAACCACCAATCTTCAGTTAGCAGCCTGGTGCTTATTAAACCATGGTGCCACTAGGGCTCTTTCTCTGCCATACAGGTCAGTTCTAGCCCTGGGCAGAGACTAGGCACCTGCTAACAGCAATAGAAAAAGCCAGCAAAGGGGCGTCAACAGAACCTGATACCTATAAGACCAACTCAGACTACACGTGTATAAAAAAGACCTTTTATTTTAATAAGTAGAAATGGCTACATTTCCAAAAGTTCTTAAATAGGAATTCAAGACAGAAATGTCAAGAGGCTAGCGATTAAGGAGCCCAGCATGAGGCAGGTGGGGATCACATGAAACCTGCCCGCCGGCCTCCTCGGCCAGCCATAAATACAGCCCACTGGGGCAGGGTGGGCCAGCTCCAACATCTACCTCAGAGCACTGTACACGGCCCACACGGCAGGAGCCCCTCCATGATAGGGTGGGGGCCAGGGCTGCCCTCACCCACAGGCTGCTGGGTGCCCTCGCCCACAGGACTCCACAGGACCCACCAACCCGGTCCATTTCCTGTGGCCCAGTTCTAGGGCCTTCCCGAAGGCACCTCAGCCCACTCACCCTGCAGGCTTAGGGCAAGGAGACTAGCGGCCCCCTGAGAGAGACCCTACTGCACAGCCCTGCCTTCCCAAGAGGGCCAGAGTGGGGTCGGCTCTGCCCTTCCAGCCCAGAGCCACAGCCAAGAGTGTTTCCTTCAGAACATGTTTCTCATCTCTGAGGGGAGACTGGGCAGGAGAGGGGCCTTCCGCGCTTCGCCTCCACCTCCTGGGGTCCTGGTGCTGTAGCAGGCCAGCCAGGCCTCAGCCCTGGGCCCGCAGGGTGGACACATCTGTCACACAGGCACTGGCCTCGACTTCCCTGCAGGAGGGGAGGAGAGGGGAGGGGAAGACTGGTCAGCACTGAACTGTCCAGCTCATCCACTTGCCCAGATGTGGGCAGGAGGAAACCCAGCGGAAGCACACAGATAGCAGGCAGCGGAAGGCCCCAGTCCTCAGTGGACCAACTCCCAGCACAGGCCTGCAACCCAAGGCGGGTGAGCGAACAGGTGGGCGGGTGGGCAGCTCTGGGCCATGGTCCACACTCACCTGGACACTGCAGCCCCAGCCGTTAGGCTGAAATCAAAGCAACAGCGTCTTACTGTGGACCTGCCACAGTCAAGACCCCACTGCCCCTCCCTAGAGGGCTTGTTGCCTAGAGCCCTGGACTCTTAAGACTGGTGGCCAACCTCATTCCTCATGGGAAAAATGGGCATGTCCCCAGGCCTTGCCACCCCCAGGCTGCCCTCCGCCCCCGACTTGCCAGGCCAGTTTTGGTGGGATGTGGACTGCATGAACCCCTCCACAGCCTTACAATTTCCGTCTATGAAGCAGACGGGACAGTCTGCCCTGCACCCCAGAGGCTGGGTAGGCTGGGGAAGTGGTTCTGGAGAAGTTTTATAAACTTACAGAGAAAAAGCCCATCCTCCCATGGGGAAGGCCCACCCATCCCACCCTCACCATGGCCCAAGGCTCACCTGAGGGCTGTAGTTTCCTCCGGATGGAGCCAGGGCGGCTGGAGCTCCCAGAGCCAGGGGCCGAGTGGGCACGTGCTGAGAGCTGGGGGGTCTGGCAAGCAGACTCCCACTGTGGCAGGAAAGGGTAGGTGGGCTGGGAGCCCTGCTCCCTTCTGTCCCCCTTCCCATCCCCCGCTTCCCTGGCCTCCTAAAGCTCAGTCTCCTCCTCACCCTGCAAGATGGGCAAAGTAGACCTGCCCAAAGAATTCTTATATGTAAAGAAACCAACTAGTCACTACTGAGCACTCCTAGGTGGGCCCCCTCCCCTCCCGCCCCCGCCAAACTAGCTGCTGACCCCTTGGAGATCAGAAGGACCACCTGGACTGAACAGGCTACTGGATTTGGGTTCAGTTCTGAGGCGGCTCCTTTCTGGCGTCTTCCCCCGACCCCCTGTGACCCGGACTGGCCTGAGCCAGGCTCCTGGTGGTCTCCAGGTGGCCATACCTCCAGGTGCTCCTGGCTGGACCAGGACCCCAGCTCCGCCCGGCGAGACACAGGACCCAGCTCTACAGAGCGCACCCTCTCGGCAAACTTGAGGGAATAGAGCGTCTCACTGGTGTTCTTCTCCACGGGGGACACCTGTCAGGGGGAGAGGGTGACAGAAGCCTGACTGCCCCACTCAAGCCAGTCTGGAGAAGGCTGAGGGAGGGGTCAGAGTACAATCAAGGTGGCAAAAACAACAGGGTCACAGGTTGAGAGAAGGGGACTTACACAATTAAGTCTCTGGGACGTGTGTGTCCAGGTCTATGGCAGGGTTAGGGGTGTGTCCCCAGGCCCCGGCACACTGAGGGCTGTCTTGCTGGGCCCACCTGAGGCCTCACCTGTACCACCATGAGGGTCTTGCTGTCACCACTAAGCGAGTCCTGCAGCAGGTAGGTGAGCTTGGAGTTCCGGAAGGGCACGTGGCCCTGGCGAGAACGCAGAGCAGCAATGACGTCCCCGAGGGCTGACAACGACTTGTTGATATGCTGTGCCTCCCGCAGGCGGCTGCCCTCCGCCCCAGACTTGCCCACGCGCTCAGAGCCGGCCAGGTCCACCAGGTTCAGCTTCCCTGCGGGAGGGTGCTGAACAGGTCATGGCTGTCCGGGCTGGGGGCTGGCATGGAGGCTGCCCCTCACCCTCACTCACCTGTGGTACGCAGGCCTGTGCTGCAGTCTGTACCGCGCACGGTCACAATGAGCAGTGCGTGGGAACGTGAGCTGTGTTCGTTCAGGTTGGTGAACTCGGTGGTGCGGTTGGTGTGGCCGAACTCAAACACCTGGGGATAGGGGAAGGTGTTGTTCGGAATCACCTGTCTTCCTGAGCACCTCTATGCTATGGACTTGTGCCACCTTCCCCATTTCACAGACAAGCCGGCAAACCATCTGGACCTTGTTCTGTGTGGGGATGGGGGCTCCCTAGCATTTCCACATGCCCCAGCAAGCCCCTAGCCCCTCACCTTGTTGATGTCATCCACGCTTTGCACCTGGAACTCGGTCAGGCCTGGCACGTAGAGCTGCCCACTGCCATCGGGGCACAGCCGGATCTCCAACTTCTCCTGTGGTTCCTTCCCCAGTAGGTCCCTGCAGGGCAGGGGATGGTCACTCTCCCACAGGCCCTGGGCTGACTCCCCTGGACCTCGTCCAGGCCTCTGCTACTGCATCCCCCTGCCCAGAGTCTGGAATGTTCCCCCAACTCATCACACCTCCTTGGTGAGCCTTTCCTGACCACTGGGTCCCTCCAGCCCCTTCCCCAGATCAGTCGGCTGAGGTGGTGGTGCCCAAACAGTCCCCACAATTCCTGTGGATGGCATCACTCCTGTCATCATTCCCTGTCGCCACCTGGGGGCAGATACAGGCCCGGTGCCCCCAGGGAACAGGAGTGCCAGCTGTGGGTCCCAGGCAGATGGGTCCCTGGCAGGTGAGGCAGGACATAGGTCAGGCCCCTTCCTGGGCCCTCACAGCCTTTTGTGGATCCCTGGACAGCCTTCAGAGGCACCCCTGAGGGCATGTTGATGGCAGGTGCTGGCCTCCTACCTGAGGACCTCATTGTAAATCTCCGCCACGCTGACGGTGATGCTGAACTCCCAGTCAGACGCCTTCTCCTGGACCTCGGAGAAAAGCAGCTGCAGGGCCCTTTGGTTGATGCCTGGGTTCTCAGGACTCCCCTGGAGGTGGACGGGAAGACGGATGGCATCACCCATCACCAATAATGCTGATGCTCACATGGGCCACCACACCTCCCAGAGAGCGTCTGCTGGAAGGAAGCTCCCACCTGCTCGTCAGTCTACCTCCCACCCTCCAAAAACCCTCCACCAGACAAGCAACTTCCCCTCCCGGGACCTGTTTTCCCACCATCAATACAGCACCATTATGCCACGGCTGCCACCTGGCACAGCCCACCTACATGGCTATTTAGGGCCATAAAAGCACTTGGCCCTGAACTCTGCCCTCGGGCAGCAGAGCCCAAAGACAAGATAGGGCACCCAGTGGGCATACCCACCTCCATTGTGTATGTCTTGCCGGCGCCCGTCTGGCCGTAGGCAAAGATGCAGACGTTGAAGCCATCGAGACAGGAGGTGATCAAGGCTTGTACCTCCTGAAATACCTGGGAGGGGACGTGGGGGAAAGGGCCACCTCCTCAGTCACTGTCCTCCAGCATCAATGTAGCGGATGCTACCCTGCTATGGATTGTCTAATGA